CACGTGACGGGCATTTGCCGATGGATCCACTCAACGGTGGGATGAGATGTCCCAGGAAACACCCTGACCAGATTCTGAGGACGTGAGGTGCAGGCAGGGGAGGGGAGCAGGAGAGGTGGGTGCCAGTGACAGGAGCAGCCAGGGATGGTGGGAAGGGGAGCGGGTTTGCTGTCCTGGGGGACTGCACCTGACCAGGAGGTGGACGGCAACAGGGGGAATCAACTACCTGATGGACACTGGGAGTCTGTGGCCTGAGAGAAAGTGACCAGTGAAAGTGTCGGCTCAATGACAGATGTGACCAGGCTCCTGCCGCCCAGGGACCCTCACGGACGCCCCGCAGGAGTGACCTGGGGCACAGACCAGACACACTCGGGGATCCCGGATCCAGCCAGTGGCCCTGGGCTGTAACAGGGGGTGTGAACTGCTTCCCCCAAATCATGGCATACATGTGACTTTCAATCAGTGTGATTGGCATATAAGGAATAAAAATTGAACCTGTGTCAGTGAACTGTGGGAAATGGGAGTGAGTGTAAGCTCAGTGGAGAGACAGAAAGGGCAAGAGAACATTTCAGTGACAACATTCAGCACAGGCTCCCACCATAGAGACAACATTCGGGGTCTAGGAGGTGAGGAGCAGGAGCTCTCTGAGTGGACACTCACACTCACAGCACAGGGAGATTTGTTGTGAAGAATCTGCATAAGCCCTGGGACAGTGGAAGGGTCCAGGCCCTGCAGAGGTCACACCTGGGACCTTGGGACTCCCATAAAAGTGGGGGTGGGATACTCTCAGGGCGGAGCAGTGGCCCCTGGGGAGCTGAGGCCTTGCAGTGGGAGCCCCAGGCAGGAGGCCCCTGCCCACCCTGTACCTGCTCCTGGCTGTGGTCTGTGCTCTGAGCCTCCTGTGCTCTGCTGTCTTGGGCCCCTGGGTCCTGACCACACCCCAATGGACCTGCCCAAACCCCTCCTGTCCTGCAGGTTTTGTGTCTGGGCTCACACCGGCTCCCATCAATGTGCCTGTCACACAGTAATACACGGCCGTATCCTCGGGCTTCAGGCTGTTCATCTGCAGATACAGCGAGTTCTTGCCGTTGTCTCTGGAGATGGTGAATCGGCCCTTCACAGAGTCCGCGTAGTATGTATCACCACCATTGCTACTGATGCCTGCAACTCACTGTAGCCCCTTTCCTGTGGCCTGGCGGACCCAGCTCATATCGTAACTACTGTAGGTGAATCCTGAGGCTGTGCAGGAAAGTCTCAGAGACCCCCAATGCTGCACCAATTCTCCCCCAGACTCCACCAGCTTCTCCTCACACTGGACACCTGCAAACACAGACACAGCAGTCAGGACACTGGCTCTCAGCCACGCTGGTAACTCTCCTGTCCCCTCCCCTCCTCATGGTCTCCAACTCCCAGCACTGACCCCCTAGAAGAGCCAGGAGGAGCAGCCAGCTCATCCCACACTCCATGGCGAGTGTCTGCATCTATCCTGACCCGAGTGGCCCCTGGATCTCAGCTGGGCTCCTGTGCAGAGCCGCAGGGCCGGCTGGGCTGTTTTCAGTAGCAGGGGACGGTCCTATTTGCATGTGTCCTTCCATATAGCGGGCTCTGACTGGGGGCAGGGACAGAGGTGACAGGTGTTCACCTGGAAGATTGCAGACATAACATTAAATCATCTCACAAATTAGTGACAGAGTGGAGATCACTGAGCAACTGTTACCTGTTGTGACGGGCCCCAGGCCAGGTGCTCACGAATGCACTGTGGGGTCTTACTGCTGAACTCTCTGTATTCTTCAATTCAGTCCTTTCTCACATGTGACATTTGTACTTATTTTCCCCATTTAGGGGCCTTTTTTTACTGGTCATTTCCTCACTTTATAGAGGGTTTCTTTTTGATGTATCT